CAACCAAAAATCCCAAACTGTGTCGACATTTTTTTTTTATCAAAAAAATCAAAAAAATCTGATTTAAATTTAAAAAATCATGATTTAAATTTTAAAAATCGATTTTTTTTTTTTGAAAAAAATCAAAAAAATCACCAACCCTGGTGTTAGCTATATGGACACTGCATTCTTTTTTCATTATGGTTGCTGATGTGGTTTGCTCCTTGTTTCCTATCCAACATGTACCGTCCTTATTTCTCCCCCTTCTTTTCTTTGTATGAATCTCTAGTAAACCTCTAATCTTTGGCACATAATATGACCTATTTGTGTTGCAAGCTACTGAATAATTCTTTCTTTTTTTTCGTCCAGGGGAAGGTGCAAAATGTTCTATCACTTTAAGAGAACCGACCAATGTCTGTTCTAAGCTGCAATATCATAGCCTCAACTCTCAGGTGTTTTTTGTAATTTAATGTAATATGAAAATGCTGTAGGATTGCGGAAACTGAACCAATTGTTTCTGAAATTTTTTTCCGAAATTCGCTGGATGAGTAGTAACTTAACACATTCTTATTTCTTACAAGAATGACTATGCTCCAAAGCGAGCAATTTCCACCAAAGATTACACGTTGTAACTTAGTCCGTTTCTGCAAGACTCGACACAATGTCTAGATGGGAACATTTTACTTTTCGCTAGTACTGGATATGAATGTACTTATATTTTCTAATTTGTAACTTGACCTCTTTAGTCTCATCGTGCGAGCTGTACTGTGCACGATATTGATACATTTACACCATACGCTATGGTATTGAAAGATTAAGATTGCAATACCAACTCTGGCTGTTCGTTTAGATTATCATCTGCTACGCTTTTTTTATGTGGGGGATGGGAAAAAGAACAAAATGAAAGCTAAAAAAGAACGAGAATGATTGCTTTAAAGTTCGAAAGTTTAGATCGACTGGTGTTGGAATTTTTATCCTTCGTTCTAGCTACGCTTTTCGCGATGAGGAGGATGGGGGAAAGAACAAAAAGAAAGCGAAAAAAAAGCAAGAATATTCTCTGCAATTCAAAAGTATTATCTGCTAATGTCAGAATCTTTATCCTCCTTTCTAGAATGGTTCATCTTCGCTGGGTGCTTTATGGAACTATAGACTTGAATTATAGAATACCAGACCGGACACTTTCACGCCTATCTAACTTTGCTCTCTATTAAAACTGCGCTGTGCTGGTGCACGCCATGAAGAACAAAACATCAGTCTTGAAATAATATCTCGCTACCATAGAATTACAAAGTTCTATCTACTCAGTACTTGGTTTTGAGAAATTTAACGTAAAAAATGTTGAGTTTCACAGCATATCAAACTTGTTCAAATACAATTCTTTGAATATTTTGTTAACGAATCGAATAATCTTACGATTTTGACTGAGCAAACAGCACATTTCGTTTCTTTATATATATATATATATATATATATATATATATATATATATATATATATATATATATATATATATATATATATACATTTCGTTTCTGATCTCGTGGTCTTGATAATTCAGAACGGACAAAAATGTGCTATAGATTTTGTTAATTATAAGGCAGCGATATAGTCAAGTGTGCTGGAAACCTTTGTTGCCATTGATGTGCTCCTCGAGTATCTATAGTAAAAGATGTTCCTTTTTGTTTCGGGGTTTTTTTCCTGGTGCCGTATAGTCGGTTTGGTTCTCGTTGTGAATAATATATCACGGCGAACGCGGCGCTGTTCCAGAGTTAAGAATTTGATCCGAATGTTTCGAGTTGACCTTGGCGGTGAGTTCATGCCAGACTTTTTGGCGTCCGCGAAACTGTTAAAATAGCATTCCTTGTCCTCTGTTCACAGACGTCCCAGGGCCTTTGTTTTTGTTTTCTTTTGGGTTTGTTTGGTGGTGTTGTTTGTTTTTGGTTTTGTTTTGGGGGGTTTTTGGGGGGTGTTCTTTTGTTGTTCTTGTTTGGTTGTTTTTTGTTGGGGGTTTTGTTTTGTTTGTTTTTTAATTATGTTTGTTGTTGTTTTGTTTTTTGGTGGTTTTTGGGGGGTCTTTGGGGTGGAGTCTTTTAGATACTCTCTGAAATTGTTTGTCTGTATTAGTAGAGAGGAGCACATCGACACAATAATGGTCATTTAATGCTAGGAAAAAAAGTCAGAAAGACAGGCAGACAGACAGAAACTACAGAAGGACAGTAAGTAAAGACGTAGGACCTAGCAGTGGCACCCTCCAACCACCCGAACTCTTCCGAATCTACATCACCTGTTTAGGAAGACAAAGTAGATGTACGTGTTTCTTTTGGTCTTGGGAAGAGGGGAAATAACAAGAAGTTGGAGAGGCGGAGATCTTTCTTTTTCCGCCAGCCATTAGGGGAACAATTGTCGTCGTACTGATTTGTATGCCATGATCGCAGAAGAAAAAAATTATAAGATATCTAGATGGTGGTTTAAGGATGGGAAAGAATGGGTTTTTTTCTGCGTCTTTTTGGTTACTGGGGGTGGGGTGTTGTTGGTCTGTTTGTTGTTTTGTTTTGGTTTTTTCGGTTTTTGTTGTGGTTTTTTTAACTAAATTTTGTTTTGTTTCGTTTTGTTTTTCTCACACATTGTCATGTTTGTCATTATCCACTCTAAAATTTAAAAAGTAGTAGAAGGGGGAACAGGAAAGGGTGTGTGATGCTTTTCGAGGGAGCGGCAGAGGGTGTATCCATATAGCCACACAAGAGATGGTTCCGAGAAACATTTCTTTCCCCTACCCTTTTCTCCTTCTCCTTCTCTCTCTCTCTCTCTCTCTCTCTCTCTCTCTCTCTCTCTCTCTCTCTCTCTCTCTCTCTCTCTCTATCTATCTATCTATCTATCTATCTATCTATCTATCTATCTATCTATCTATCTATCTATCTATCTATCTATATCTCGCCCTCTCTCTCTCTCTGTCTGTCTGTCTGTCTGTCTGTCTGTCTGTCTATCTACCTACCTACCTATCTATCTATCTGTTAATCTATCTATCTATCTATCTTAGGCTCTCGGACTCGCAACCGTAAGGTCGTGGGTTCGAATCCCGTCAGGGGCCCGACGTTGTGTCCTTGGGAAAGGCACTTTGCACAAATTTTCCTCACTTCACCCAGGTGGAAATGGGTACCCAGCTATAGACAGTGAAAGATCTTGTCAGTTTGATAGTGTTTGAGCGCGTGAAATCCGCAGCTTGCACTGTATGCTTCCGCGGAAGCTGAGAATGTTTCTGAGTGTTTTCAGAGGGTCTGCTGGGGTAATGATAGTTGTGAAGCGCATAGAGCAAGCTCTTGAGCATGGATATGCGCTATATAAATGCAATTATTATTATTATTATTATTTATCTATCTATCTATCTATCTATCTATCTATCTATCTATCTATCTATCTATCTGTCTGTCTGTCTATCTATCTATCTATCTATATATATATATATATATATATATGTCTATCTATCTATCTATCTATCTATCTATCTATCTATCTATCTATCTATCTGTCTGTCTATCTATCTATCTATATATATATATATATATATATATATATATATATATATATATATATATATATATATATGTCTATCTATCTATCTATCTATCTATCTATCTATCTATCTATCTATCTATCTATCTATCTATCTATCTGTCTGTCTGTCTATCTATCTATATATATGTCTATCTATCTATGAACAGGTCAGCCCTGGAGACAAGCCTGCAGATCGAACGGGACACCAGGGGCCGCGTGCAGTCCGACCTGGAGCAGGAGAGAGAGAAACTGGCACAGACCCAGCTGGAGGTGGCTCAGCTCAAAGACCTCAAGAGAGTGAGTGGTTGTATTCTTGTTGTTGTTGTTAGTAGTAGTAGTAGTAGTAGTAGTAGTAGTAGTAGTAGTAGTAGTAGTAGTAGTAGTAGTAGCAGTAGCAGCAGCAGCAGCAGCAGCAGCAGCAGCAGTAGTAGTAGTAGTAGTTTATTCATTATTATTATTGTTGTTGTTGTTGTTGTTGTTAGTAGTAGTAGTAGTAGTAGTAGTAGTAGTAGTAGTAGTAGTAGTAGTGGTAGTGGTAGTGGTAGTGGTAGTAGTAGTAGTAGTAGTGATAGTGGTTGTGGTAGTAGTAGTGGTAGTAGTAGTAGTAGTAGTAGTAGTAGTAGTAGTAGTGATAGTGGTTGTGGTAGTAGTAGTGGTAGTAGTAGTGGTAGTGGTAGTAGTAGTGGTAGTGGTAGTAGTAGTAGTAGTGGTGGTAGTGGTAGTAGTAGTAGGAGGTCGTCGTCGTCGTCGTCTCTTTCGTCTGTCCGCAGTGAAAATAGCATAAAAACAAAGCGTTCTTTTTTATCTCCTTGGGTATTTGCAAGCGGGTCTAAAAATTGAACGAACAACATAAATCTCAAAGCCCATTGTTGAAGGTCTCTGCAAAATACAGTTCTGACCCATATTGTGTTTAATCTACGTGTTTTTTACATCCCCGTCGACACGATTTACTTCATTCTGGAGGCGAGTGCCTGGCAGGACCAACCCGGACTGAGATCTCGGGGGATACACCATCCCAGTAGAAAGACCGAGATACTCAATAGAACTTCTCCCCACTCGGGAATCGAACTCAGATCTTCTGAGTGCAACGATTAAGCGCCTAACCGCTACTCCAATTGAGCAGGTGGCAGATGGTTGGAAGACGCCACTTTCATTCTTTTTTTAAAAATTAGAATGAGATATCTGTCAGCCATTTCGCTCCTCCTTTTTTTCCCCACTCTACTAACACCTCTTATCTTCGGTACTTATGTGGCCTGATTGTGTTGCTAGTGCCGTAAAACTCTCGCTTAAAAAATTTGTAAGAAGTGAAAACGCTGGATGACAACCCGACTTCTCGATTCGATAAGAATCAGCCCAACTAGTCGAGGGATTGTTTTAACCCTTTATGGGCGTAACGGACACGTATTATAATGTTCGATCAACGGCAGACCAAAGGCGATATCGCGGCACGTTTCGAACCATCCGACACA